AACACATCAAATAGTTCATACACAATGATCAAGTTAGGTTTATTCCAGGGATGCAAGGATTCTTCAATATACGCAAAATAATCAGTGTGATCCACCATATTAACAAATTGAAAGATAAAAACCATATGATAATCTCAATAGGTGCAGAAAAACCCTGCACCTATTGTGTGACAAAATTCAGCATCCATTTATGATTAAAACTCTTCAAAAAATGGGTATAGGAGGAATCTCTACCTCAACATAGTAAAGGCCATATATGATAAGCCTACAGCAAGCATTATTCTCAATGGTGAAAAACTGAAAGCATTTCCCCCTAAGATCAGGAACAAGACAAGGGTGTCCATTTTTGTCATTTTTATTCAACATAGTTCTGGAAGTCCTAGCTACAGCAATCAGAGAAGAAGAAGAAAGAAAAGGAATCCAGATCAGAAAAGAAGAAGTAAAGCTCTCACTGTAGATGACATGATGCTCTACATAGAAAACCCTAAGGATAGTATTAGAAAATTACTAGAGCTAATCAGTGAATTTAGGAAAGTTGCAGAATAGAAAATCAATGCACAGAAATCACTTGCATTTCTGAAAAATCAGAAAGAGAAATTAAGGAATCAATCCCATTCACCATTGTAACAAAAAGAATTAAATATCTAGGAATAAACTTACCTAAGGAGACAAAAGAACTGTAAACAAAAAATTATAAGACACTAATGAAAAAAGTCCAAGATGACATAAACAGATGGAGATTTTCTGTGTTCCTGACTATGCCAAAGCCTTTGACTGTGTGGATCACAATAAACTGTGGAAAATTCTGAAAGAGATGGGAATACCAGACCACCTGACCCACCTCTTGAGAAACCTATATGCAGGTCAGGAAGCAACAGTTAGAACTGGACATGGAACAACAGACTGATTCCAAATAGGAAAAGGAGTACGTCAAGGCTGTATACTGTCACCTGGCTTATTTAACTTATATGCAGAGTACATCATGAGAAACGCTGGGCTGGAAGAAGTACAAGCTGGAATCAAGATTGCTGGGAGAAATATCAATAACCTCAGGTATGCAGATGACACCACCCTTATGGCAGAAAGTAAAGAGAAACTAAAAAGCCTCTTGATGAAAGTGAAAGAGGAGAGTGAAAAAGTTGGCTTAAAGCTCAACATGCAGAAAACTAAGATCATGGCATCTGGTCCCATCACTTCATGGGAAATAGATGGGGAAACAGTGGAAACAGTGTCAGACTTTATTTTTTTGGGTTCCAAAATCACTGCAGATGGTGACTGCAGCCATGAAATTAAAAGATGCTTACTGCTTGGAAGGAAAGTTATGACCAACCTAGATAGCATATTAAAAGGCAGAGACATTACTTTGCCAACAAAGGTCTAGTCAAGGCTATGGCTTCTCCAGTGGTCATGTATGGATGTGAGAGTTGGACTGTGAAGAAAGCTGAGTGCTGAAAAATTGATGCTTTTGAACTGTGGTGTAGGAGAAGACTCTTGAGAGTCCCTTGGACTTCAAGGAGATCCAACCAATCCATCCTAAAGGAGATCAGTCCTGGGTGTTCATTGGAAGGACTGATGCTGAAGCTGAAACTCCAATACTTCAGCTGCCTCATGCGAAGAATTGACTCTTTGGAAAAGACCCCGATGCTGGGAGGGATTGGGGGCAGGAGGAGAAGGGGACGGTAGAGGATGAGATGGCTGGATGGCATCACCGACTCGATGGACATGAGTTTGAGTAATCTCCGGGAGTTGATGATGGACAGGGAGGCCTAGTGTGCTGCTATTCATGGGGTCACAAAGAGTTGGACACGACTGAGTGACTGAACTGAACTAGGTAGGAAGAATCAATGCTGTGAAAGTGACTGTACTACCAAATGCAATCTACCGATTCGATGCGATCTCTATCAAATTACCAATGGCATTTTCCTCAGAACTAGTACAAAAAATTTCACAATTCATATGGAAACACAATAAGACCCAGAATAGCCAAAGCAGTCTTGAGAAAGAAGAATGGAGCTGGAGGAATAAGCCTTCCTGACTTCAGACTATACGACAAAGCTACAGTCATCAAGACAGTATAGTACTGGCACAGAAGGGAAATACAGACAAATGGAACAAGATAGAGAGCCCAGAAATAAACCCAATAAACCCTATGGGGTTCCTTATTTTTGACACAGGAGGAAAGGGTATATAATGGGGCAAAGATAGTCTCTTCAATAAATGGTGCTGGGAAAACTGGACAGCTACATGTAAAAGAATGAAATTAGAGTACTTCCTAACACCATAGACAAAGGTAAACTGAGAATGGATTAAAGACCTATATGTAAGACCAGAAACTATAAAATTCTTAGAGGAAAACATAGGCAGAACACTCGGTGACGTAAATCAAAGCAAGATCCTCTGTGACCCACCTCCTAGAGTAACGGAAATAGAAACAAAAGTAAACAAGTGGGGCCTAATTAAACTTAGAAGCTTTTGCACAGCAAAGGAAACTAAGGTGAAAAGACAACCCTCAGAATGGGAGAAAATAATAGCCAGTGAAACAACTGACAGGGTTAATTTCCACAATATATAGGCAGTTCATACAGCTCAGTTCCAGAAAAACAATCAGCCCTGTCAAAAAGTGGGGAAAAGACCTAAACAGACATTTCTCCGAAGAAGACATGCAGATGGCTAACAAACATGTGAAAAGATGCTCAGCATCGCTCATTATTAGAGAAATGCAAATCAAAACTACAATGAATTATCACCTCACACTGGTCAGAATGACTACCATCAAAAAGTCTACAAACAATAAATGTTGGAGAGGGTGTGGAGAAAAGGGAACACTCTTGCATTGTTGGTGGGAATGTAAATTGATATAGCCACTTATGGAAGACAGTATGGAGCTTTCTTGAAAATACGAATAAAATCACTGAATGACCCAGCAATCCTACTCCTAGGCATATACCCTCAGGAAGCCAAAATGGAAAGAGACACATGTATCCCATTGTTCATTGCAGCACTATTTACAACAGCTAGAACATGGAAGCAACCTAGGTGTCCATCAACAGATGAATGGATAAAGAAGTGTGTTACATATACACAATGGATTATTATTCAACCATAAAAAGGCATGCATTTGAGTCCGTTCTAATGAGGTGAATGAACCTAGAATCTATTATACAGAGTGAAGTAAGTCAGAAAGAGAAAGATAAATATCCTATTCTAATGCTTATATACAGAATCTAGAGAAATGATACTGAAGAATTTACTTACAGGGCAGCAGTGGAGAAACAGACATAGAGAATAGACTTATGGACATGGGGAGAGGAGAGGAGAGGGTGAGATGTATGGAAAGAGTAACATGGAAACTTACATTACCATATGTAAAATAGACAGCCAAGGGAATTTGCTGTGTGGCTTAGGAAACTCAAACAGGGGCTCTGTATCAGCTTGGAGGGGTGGGGTGGGGAGGGAGATGGCAGGAGGTTCAAGAGGGAGGGGGTATATGTGTACCTATGGCTGATTCATGCTGAGGTTTGACAGAAAACAACAAAATTCTGTAAAGCAACTATCCTTCAATAAAAAATAAATAAATTTTTTTAAAAGAGTATTTTCCATCAAGAGACTCATTTTAAAGGGATTTCAGAAAGCTTTAAAAAAAAAAGATGTTACTGAAGAATTGTTGATTTACAGTGCTGTTAGTTTCAGGTGTATAGCCAACTGAATAAGTATACATCTGTCCACTCTTTCCTAGATTCTTTTCACACATAGGCCATTATGGAGTGAAAGGCTATTAAGAATCTACTTAGCTAAATATTTTAGGAATGAGAGCTAAGCCTCCAAATTGCAGGTGAATGAAATAGGATGGTGGTCAATAGTTTTCTTTAGATATAGTTTGTTAGAATCTAGATACAACTGAAATTCATGTTTTTGCAGGTTTGGGTTTTTTCCTTGGTACTTTCATATTTCCTCTAGTTTTTCTGTTTTATTAATGTTGATTTTGTGATTTGAAATGGAAATGTGGTTTACGGGGGTAAAAATGGTTGGGATAGGTCTTCTACAAGGCTTTCTTTATTACATGGTCCTTAATTTTTTTGCAAAGAATTCCTGTGTAATGATTAGTGGTTCCAGATTTTTGTTTGTCTTATCTTGGATAATTAAAGTATTTGTGCTAGATATTTGGTAAATGGCAAAAAAAATCTTGTTAAATAAAGGAGGAACCAAAATCAAGGATATAATCTAAAAAAAAAAGTTTGGATTTTAAAAATGAAGATCAGATTAAAGTACCTGGACTTGTTTTGCATAATAAAGGAACCACTAATACTTTTGATATATATTCTGTGAGATAGAAGTTAAAGCAACGTAACTTTGCATTTAGTAATAATTAGATATCCTGATAATAAGAATCAATATTTGGCCTTATATGAAAAATAAATAGTTAACTATTGCCGTTTATTAAGCATGTTCTGTGTGTCAGACGTGGTGCTAGGAGTTTTCTCTGTGACTTTGCATTTGGACCTTATGACAGTTCCTAGTTTGATGCTTTTATGATCTCCATTTGTGATGAGGAAACTGAGGCTTTGAGTAATTTGACTACTTGAAAGTACAGCTGGAAGTCCCTGAACTAGAATAAGGAACCCTCTTGAGTCTCCTGCAAAGTTTGCCTTAACCACAAGTCTTACCTTGTACTATGAGCATAGAGCATGTTTGGGACATTATTGCACTTGTTATCTAGATATGTTTGTATTTTCTCTGAACGTTATACTGTGCAAAGGGACAATTAGAGATGATTCTGAAAGTATGTGGTGAAAGGAAAGGAGTTACTCATCTAGTAACTGAAAGGAAGTGATCCTGGTGTGGTATAGAAGGGCCTACAGATAAAAACACAAGTAATTCCTTTCACACGTAGCCATCAAGCACTAAATTAGAGTCATTCTTGATATATAGCTTTGATTTCTGAAACATTTTTGTACATAACAAAAGCTTTTAAATTAGTTTTTCTTTTCCCCCCCTCTTAGTGGAAAAAGTGAAAGAACAATTAAAACTTTCCTTGGAAACCAAGAATGGTGTCGTGCAAACTGGTGAATTAACAGTTGTGCTTGATGGACTGGTGATTGAGCAAGAAAGTATAACAAACGGCAGCTCATCTCCAGCCAGTAAGCTAACTTTGGGTTTTTAAAATTTGAAGGAAAAAAAAAATCAAGAAGTATGTAAAAAACATAGTGTCTTTTCTTTTTGTCATTCAGTAGAAGTACAGCAAAATGGTGATGCCTTACGTGAAGACAGAGAACCTTCAGCAAGGACAACCGCCAGGTAGAATGTTTTATTTTGGTGTTTGTGGCAAAGTAACACCACATTTCCCATATGTGAAGTTTTTAACCTTAGTTTAGAGTTTGCCATAGACTTTAAAAGCTTATATCTAAACATGTTATTTGGTTGAATTCTTATCAAAGTGGTTTAAAAAAAAAAAAAAAAAACAAAAAAACCCAGCTGTAACAGATACATTATTGGAGTAAAGTGTACATCTCAGTGGTTTTTAGGTTAGTAGAGTTGGGTAACCATCACCAGTGTCTCATTTCAGAACATTCTCTTCACCCTCAAAAAGACTGTACCCAGGGGCACTCTCTCTCCACCCCCTCTTTTCCCAGCTCCTGCCAGCCACCCAGCTTCTGTCTCAGTGGATTTGCCTGTTCTGGGCATTTCTTGTAAACGGTGTCGTACAACATATGACCTTCCGTCACTGACTTTTGCTTAGCATGTGGTTCATCCCTGCTGTAGGAAGTGTCAGAACTTCATTCGTTTTTTTTTTTAATTGGAAATAACTCTTAAAAATCTGTATTTAGGCACATTTTATCAGTAAATAGAGTCAGGTGATGTGGTGCTGTCTGAGTTGGCAGCTTCCTGTAACTGCTAGAAGATAGATATTGCACTGATTATGGTCTCCTTAGAGGTTACCCTACCATCTCAGCAACTCCCATAGATTCACATTTGATGATAATAGAAACTTTCTGTTTGAAATAATTTGAATTAGAATTAAAGCATGTAATAGATCAGTTATAATCGAGTGAACATTTGAAAGTACATTGCTGTGAAATAGATTTGAAAAATCATGCGGGTATATGACAAAGTGTGACTTTTGTTAATCTACAGTTACTAATATTGCTACTAAATTGCTGTGAAATGATCTTCACAGAGCCCTTGAACAGATCAGTATGTCTTCTGAATATATATTTGGCTTAAATAAATGTATTTATTTAGTATCCACATGATAATTCACATTGAGAAAATTCAGAACTGAAAAGTGAAAGTCATTCAGTCACGTCCAGCTCTTTGCAATCCCATGGACTATACAGTCCATGGAATTCTCTAGGCCAGAATACTGGAGTGGGTAGCCTTTCCCTTCTCCAGGGGATCTTCCCAACCCAAGGATCAAACCCAGGTCTCCCACATTGCAGGCAGATTCTTTACCAGCTGAGCCACAAGGGAAGCCCAAGAATACTGGAGTGGGTAGCCTATGCCTTCTCCAGCGGGTCTTCCCGACCCGGGAATCAAACTGAAAGGATACAGCAATTAGGTAGACTAAAATGCACTAGTGTGTATGTGTATGTGCATATGTATATATATATATCAAAAATTATAATTTTTGAAATGAAATTTTAAGTGGTTAAAGGAGCTTGAATCACTACCAACCTAAAGACTAATGTTATTTATTATATAACAATACATTTTGAATCAAAGTTTAGTTCTACAGCACCAGGAGAACTTGAGTTGCATTCTTTTACTCTGTCTCCTGGGTCACTGATCCTTGCTGAGTGGCTTAGGGAAGGGTGTACAAATCAGATTCACTTGAGAGAAATTTCAAAGCTTTGTGTGCCTGCTAAGTTGGCGCAGTCATGTCTGACTCTGTGTGACCCTATGGACTGTAGCCTGCCAGCCTCATCTGTCCATGGGGATTCTCTAGACAAGAATACTGGAGTGGGTTGCCATGTCCTCTTTCCAGGAGATCTTCCCGACCCAGGGATCGAACCCAAGTCTCTTACGTCTCCTGAATGGGCAGGCAGGTTCTCTACCACCTGTGCCACCTAGGAAGCCCTTTCAAAGCTTTACCTGCCCAAAATTCCTGAACACATCTCATTCCAAATATATAGGTGACAAGGGAAAGTGTTGTTAATTCGTTCAGGTACTTACTGAGTGCCTGTTTGGTGCCAGGCTCTGGTCCAGGCACTGAGAATAGTAGTCCTGTTCCTGTGGAATTTTCATTCTGGCAGGATAGAGGTAGATAGTAGACAAATGAGGAAAGAAATTAGCTAATTGGAGATAGTGATAAGAACTATGAAGTCATCGAAACACAGGACAGGATGACAGGAATGTAAAGGATCCCTTTTTAAAGAGAAATGTTGCGGAATCATCTCTGTGGAAGTGCCATTCAAGCTACAATTAAAAAGCCGAAAATGTGCCGTACATGCAGAGATTTGAGGGAAGAGCATTCCAGGCAGAGGAAATAGCAAGTAAAAAAGGACACTGATTCTTTCCCGTTAGTTTTTGTTCTGTGTGCGTGCTTGTGTGTGCTCAGTCCTTTGCGACCCTGTGAACTATAGCCCACCAGACTCCCCTGCCCGTAGGATTTTTCAGACAATGGTACTGGAGTGGGTTGCCGTTTCCTCCTCCAGGGAATCTTGCCAACTCAGGGATCAAAACCACATCTGTTACATCTCCTGCATTGCAGTCAGATTCTTTACCACTGAGCCATTGGAGAAGCCCTTTTGCTCTGCAGATTCTTCTAACTCTAGAGTATATCTAACCTTTATTTGATAATCTTGTAAGTCATTATAATTTTACTCCCTGTATCTAATAGTTTGTAATAAACATTTGAAGACTCTTTGGCATGATTTTTCATATAATATTGATATACGAATATATCTACTGCAAGGTGGGCAAGGAACAGCTTGGAGAGAAGTAGATCAGAGAGATAGATGAGGTGGGGCAGGACTGAGATGTGCTCTGATTTATTTATTTATTTTAAATTAAGAAAAAAAAATTAAGGCCGCTCTGTGGAGAAGACATACAGGGTTACCAGTGTATTTGGGAAAGTTCTCCTGATTACTTACATAAAATTGCCTAACTCCCTGCCAACAAGATTTAAGATACTTGATTTTGTAATTGTAGACATATTTATTTGCAGTAATGAATACACTGTAAAGTCTTCTAACTCTGGAATATAATATTTAGCTTTCTCTGATCATCATGTACTCATTATTTTAGTGCTGGTAATAGCTTGTGATCAATATTGTAAGATGTTTTTGGTCTTTTCAGTACTCACAGTTTGCAATTGATTTTTATAAGTTTCATGACCTTTTTGAAAATATTTCCAGACATTTTAAAAATAAATCTAATATTCTTAGATTTAAATATTTAAAATATACAATTTGATCATTGCTTTGAGGTACTGAATTTATTTTGACAGTATGATTATATATCTCAATATACATTTACTGTGTGGATACACTTAGAACTGAAAGTAATTTAAACTTTAAGTATGTAATAAAATGTGAAATGTAAAAAATAAAATGTTTAAAAAAAGTAATCAAGATTTCTCTTGTTCACTACTCTTTATCATTTTGCTTCAGTGTTAAGAACTTGGTAAATATTCTTACAAAACTTCTGATGAAACGTTATGTGATTGCTTTTAATTTATTGAAGTAAGATATCTTTTTTGTTTGGCTTTTTTTTGAGGTTGGCTGCTGAAGATACTAATGGGATAGATAATCATGTACCCGCGAACACCGCAGCACCAAGCGCATGCTGTCCGTGCGTTGTTAATGGGGGCAGCACACCATCTCCATCTCAGGCTGCTGCCAGACCCAAAACCACACCAGCTCCAAAGCCGCTCACACCTGAGCCTGCCAGTGACACTGGTAAGCATGGTTACTTATGACACGTCATTTACATGGAAACTAAATTTATGTATCTGTACGTATACTTTTCTTATTGTACAATCTTTCTTAATCTTCAGTTTTATAAAAGGAATTTGAAGATTACACCACCTGAATTTTTTTTTTCATAATTTGAATTTTCCTAGGTTATTTAGGAAGATATTCCAAAACTACATTATAATAGCACATTTCACTAAGCAAGTACAAGTACTTGCGTGATAGTCAATCTTAGGCTTTACGTTACAAAAAAAATACTATTTATAATGTAGAATATATTTCTAAAAGCACTTTAGGGAATTCATTGATTTGTTAGTGACGAATGATTCTTTTAACCATTTTGGTTAAATGGTTTTCTTTTGCCAGACAGATATTTACTGCTTGGCGTATAACTTAGTAGAAAAATGTATTGTGAGGTGATACAGCGCTCGGAAAGTTTTCTATTTTCTAAGGGGAATTGTTCTATGATTATAGAAGGACTGTCTATGGAAGAATTTTTTTCTGTAATCCTGTTTTTCAGTGGATTCAGCTGTAATATTCGTACATCGTTGTTTGATTTTTATAAATTAACTCTTTCAGATGAATTTCTTGAAACACAAACATCTTAGGACTTCTTAAGATTACTAGTGTGTGTATCTGAGCCGCCTTTCTTGCCTCTACATGAGTTAGTCTGCACGGCAACAGCCGGAGACTGAGCTCAAGTAGAGGCAAGAAAGGAAACCGTACACCACCAAACAATTTTTGGAGGTCTTGTGAGATTAAGCAAGACCAATAAAAAAAAAAAAAAGAAAAAAGAAAAAAAAAAAAACAAAACAACAACAAAAAAAAAGATTACTAGTGTATGTCTTGAGGCTAAAGTTGGCATCCTGTCTTTTGATCCCAGAGCCTGTATTCTTTCCCTCATCTATTTATGGGATTATTCAAAAGTAGAAACATGTAAGGAAGTAATTACATGAAAATAGATGGGGATGGGTTTATAGAGAAGACTGTTGGATATTTATACTGAAGGTTGGGGAAATATTTACTGTGCATGTTGTGAGTTTTTGTAAATGTGGGAACTGACATGATGGTTTTCTGAAAATGTAATTTATTAATGCTCCTCTTTTTTTTATAAAAAAGATAGGCTTAAACATCCTAAGTCCTCACAATAAGTTGACACTTTTCATTATTAATTTAAGGTGTCTGGAAAATGAGAGAAAATAAACACAGATGACCAGGCTGAAATGAGTGAACAGGATCATTTGTTTTCTGATTCTGGTATGCTTTCTAGTAAGAACGTTTGTCTCAGATTTATTAGCAAAGGGATAAAGGAACAAATTAAGAACAGACCAGTTAAAACGATTTCCATTGGGATTCCCTGGTGGCCCAGTGGTTAGGATTTAGCACATTGACTGCCAGGCCAGGCTGAGGTTTAATTGTTTGGGGAGCTAAGATCCCACAAGCCTCAAGGTGCAGCCAAAAAGCCCCTCCCGAAACAAAAAATAAGAATACCAGCTTTTATGCCTGATGTTCCATCTTTTATGGATCTGTATGAAAAAGCATAATGTGATCAGCATCCTTGCTAATTCCAAGAGAGTAAATACAGTAGTGAGTTTCACAGAACTCTGCTTATATTATGGATCCTAAGTTAAATTTATAGTTTTAAAAGGTAGTCTGGGAAAATAAGTGAGGGAAGGACCATCCATGTATATGGGTGACCACCAAATAATCACCCATAGAAAAATGGTTTATATTAGTACTAGAGTTCTTAATAATAAAACATAAATCCAGTGCATTTGACCTATAGATGTGTAGATTATCAAATAATTACCTATATTTACCCATACCAAAAATGACACACAAACTAGGTATCCACCCATGAAGAAATTTAAATTGTAAACATTGTAATTCCCTTGAGAACGCTCTGAAGAGGTTGTAAAGATAAAAATACCCTTATGTAACCAGACTTGATTTGTTATATGGGATTATCATTAGATTCATTAGAGTGGTAGATCCAATTCCGTTATTTCTGTAAGTAATTAGACATCAGGACCAATTACTGAGTCTGTTCTTTTTCCATGAGAAGTATAAGAATTTTGAATGCTCATTTTAGAAAGGCTTATACAGTCATTCTATTTCATTCTTGTCATCACCTTCCAGTTAAAAGTGTATGGAATTTGGAGATTTAGCTTTTCTTCCTAAAATATTTAGCTGTTAGGATAGATTGGCCAAAGTATCTATTGATCACTAGATAGTTGCATGCTTGTGGGCTTATTCAGGTGTTGTTGCAAAAGGGAGCGCTTTCTGAGTTCCCCCTCATTGTAGAATCTCCAGTTTATATTCTGCTTCTAATTTTGTACTTTATAGACTGTTTCTGTTGGGAACAGATTTGCCTTCCACATTCTTCTCTTATCCTTGCCTGAAATTTCAAGATGAAAGTAAAGCACACATGAGGGACTAGAAATGAAGGCGCCGTTGTAAATAGTTCCCAGGACATTCTCCATAATCGCAAGGAAGCCTAAGACGATCAGAACAACAGCTAGTATCTGTGCTACACATGTTCCAAACACCGTATACCCACAGATCGATACAGCTGTCAGGATAACTCTCTGAAATGGGCACTAGTGTTTTTCTCCTGAAGGAACTGAGGCCCAGAGATCCCAGCTGGTAGAGGAGCTGTCGCTGACACCCACCTCTGTGGTTCTCTCCTCCCCGCTTTCCTGTTCATTTAGATGTGTGTGATTTCTGTAGTGTCTCAGTGTTGGGTTGTTCATCTTTTATACCTTTGATAAACTTCAAATAATATTCCCCCAGTCAACTTAGTGATTGTGTTTGCATATTCTTTGACACATGACAAAACAATCCAACTGCCCTCATTCCATTGGCTGGTTTAGAAAGGCTTCTGGAACCTACTCTGTTGGTAGAAACCACTTTACCCATGTCTTCGGTATGATCTGGCATCCCTCAGTAGGAAGATGAATTCAGGTATTTTTTTCAAGGGGTAGTCTTCTTTAAGGTGTTGGTGTAAAAATAGGATTCTTTTTTCTGTAATCAAGAACTTTAAAAATCAGTTTTCATTGTTGGAGTGGTGATGGAGTGGAGTGTGCATATTGTGTGTGTAACATAATACATGTTTTTAATCCATTACCTGTGATTCCAAAATCCTAAAATCCTTAAAACCAAAAGGTTTTGGTAAACTCACTTGATGGCAAAATGACTAGGACTAACTTGAAGGTATTTATAATTTTTTCTGCTTAGTATGAGCATCCTTCTGTTTCACTCCAGAACTGATACTGTGATTAACTACAGTGTCTAGCCCCCAGTTTGACTTGATATTAGTGTAATAGATAATATATGTGCCATACTACCTTTCTGCATTCCAAAGTTATGAATTCTGGAACACACTTGGCCCTAAGAGTTTCAGATGAGGGGTTGGGGGCCTGGAACTGCAGATAAATGATTTCTTTTCACCAAAGACAGTATTGTACATGAGGTTTGGAGGGGAGGGCATTTTCCCTCACCCCTACCTGTTCTTTTGAGTCTTAAGAAGATCCATTGGCTAAGTTTAGTTGGTAAATACTGATATTTATTTTAAGCTAAAGTGGGAGGCAGTCATGATTGGAAAGATTAGATTTGGTTTCTAACCAGACTGTGTTCCAATCCTAACTCTGTCATTGAACACTTTAACCATGGGTTGTCATTCAGTCATTCAATCGTGTCCAACCCTTTCTAACTCTGTGGACTGCATCATGCCAGGCTTCCCTGTCCTTCACTATCTCCCGAAGCTTGCTCAAACTCACGTCCATTGAATCGGTGGTGCCATCCAACCATCTCATCTTCTGTCGTCCCCTTCTCCTCCTGCCTTCAGTCATTCCCAGCATCAGGTCTTTTCCAACTAATTGGCTCTTCACATGAGATGGCCAGAGTATTGGCACTTCTGCATCAGCATCAGTTCTTCCAGTGAATATTCAGGACTGATTTCCTTTAAGATTGACTGGTTTGATCTCCTTGCTGTCCAAGAGACTCTCAAGAGTCTTATACAACACCACAGTTGGAAGCATCAAATTCTTCGGCACTCAGCCTTCTTTATGGTCCAACTCTCACATCCATACATAACTACTAGAAAAACCATTGCTTTGGTTTTTCTGTATGGACCTTTGTCAGCAAAGCAGTGTCTTTGCTTTTTAATACACTGTCTAGGGTTGTCATAGCTTTTCTTCCAAGGAGCAAGTATCTTTTAATTTCTTGGCTGTAGTCACTGTCTGCAGTATTTTTGGAGCCCAGGAAAAGAAAGTCCATCACTGTTTTCATTTTTTTCCCCATCTATTTGCCATAAAGTGATGGGACCCAATGCCACGATCTTAGTTTTTTGAATATTGAGTTTTAAACCAACTTTTCCACTCTCCTCTTTCACCTTCTTCAAGACTCTCTTCAGTTCCTCTTCTCTTTCTGCCATGAAGGTAGTATCATCTGCATGTCTGAGGTTGTTGATATGTCTTCCAACAGTCTTGATTCCAGCTTGTGATTCATCCAGCCAGGCATTTCACATGATGTACTCAGCTTATAAGCATGCAACCTTGGATAAATTTAGCATTCTAAAAATTTAGGTTCTCCACTTATAAAATGATACAAATACTTAATAATACCTTACAGGATTGTTTCATAAGTTAAATAAGATAAATTTAAAACATCTACCATGTTTCTAGGGCAGTGGTATTTAAGAAAAATATGATTTTCTTCTTTACTTCTCCCCTTGCCCTTGGCTTCTAGAAGAAATGACTTTTTCTAATGTATAATTATTGTTTTATTAATAAAATAGAGCTCAGTATGGTAAGGCAGAACTAACCGATTTCACAAATGTATTAGACTTCTGCTTTTAGTTTTTTATTTTGAAATACAGATTCACAAAAAGTTACCAGGAAATGTACAGAGAGGTCCCGTGTTCCCTTCATTGGCCTCTCCGAATGTTAATGTCTTGTATAACTATAGTACTGTATGAAAATGAG